AACATTTTTGGAAAATCCTTCCCCATCCCACTGACACCTTTTTGAAGCATTCCTTTCCAGAAGTTTCTTTTCCCCCTGAAGCAATATCATTTATATTCCCACTTAAGCATTTTGATATCCTGTTTTAATATCCTAAAAGTAAAGCTTCAAGCAAAATGAATGGCTGTAGTTTGTTTCATGGTAGGTCTCGCTACTTGTGGGTAGAAGGCCTCAAGCCTTCTTAATCTCATTTGATCTTCATTTTTGCACTGACAGTAAAGCACACAATGGCCACACTTCCCTTGAATGCATTTCCTTGTATCCTTTACTTATATCAGGATCATGAAAATCCTGTTGCTCCTTAACTTTGTCAGTTTAAATAGAACGCCTCACAAAGCACATTGAGTAAGCATCAAAAAGCATGACATGCAGTGTGTGTGTGAAGGCACCAATCATCTGTTTCACCCACTCTGTCATTTCAGCACTTTCTGCTAAGAACTCCGCATACTGAAAGAGGTGGACAACTAAAAGAGACAGATGAAATGCTTGATTTGTTTAGTTGCTAAATGCAGCTGGGACAGGTAATTAAACAGTCCTGCTCCCGCAGAGAAGCCTGCAGCAATGTAACATGAAATCTTAGAAACCCAGCTGTACTCAGATTTAGATTCAGAACTAATATTAGATAGGCATCCTTCCGATTGACAGATTTCGTAAACATCATTTCTGGTTTATTTGTTCAGCCTAATTGAAGATAGAGCATGTTTCGTTCACCATTTAAGTTTTCTAGGGAGCATGTGGTGTTTACAGATACCTGGGGGAATAGCCTAGAAGGCACAGCCCGTGTCTGGAGGGCACGGGATGACATGGGTGAGCCTCTGCAAATCCTGACTCCAACCGTTCCATGGAGGTGGGAATGGGGGTCATCATATGAATAGATGCGGACTGGGAGAGGATTGGAACCAGTTCTTGCCTTAACCCTTTTATCTTGTATGAGGGCATATTATTATGTAAGTAGCAAAGATCTCTGTGTGTACAGTGGGATCTTTGTTTTAATTTGAGCACTTATTTCTATGCAGAAGTTGTTACCACCATTTACTCATTTGCTCAAACAAGAAATTTAGCAATTATCCTTTTTGCTCACCTCCCACAGCCATCCCCCAGTAGGCTTTTTTGTAGGGCTGACTCACCGTTATCCCTCAAGTCTCACCTTAAGTGTCCCCTTCAATGTGGAGCCTGCTTTGACCAACTTTCCAAAATGGCCTCCACTAGTGGGGCTCTGATGTCATAACCCCGATTCCTTCCTTGTAGCACTTAACACAATTAGTAACTGCTTGTTTTCCACACAGTGGTCACACATTCCTTGGATGCATTTCCTTATATTCTTTGCTTGTCTTACCAGAACTATGATAATCCTGCTGCTTGTTGATTGGTTGTTTATGTATTTGCTTTGTCTACTTACCTTTTTACCTATTTATTATCTGTCTGCCATGCTAGATGTTAGTTCTAGGAGGGTAAAGACTTCATCCTATATTTCCAGCTCATAACCCAGTGCCTTGCACATAGTTTATACCCTGTACATATATGCTGGATATCATGTCCAAACTATATCATAGATCAGTGGTATGCTGGTAAGTTTCTAGGTGGGGATGGGGGGCGGTGGAAAGGCAGCTCCAATTTGTAGCATGTACCAATATCTGTGGTGTAAATACTCCCACCATGGCAGATATGAAGCTACCAAAATGGTGTTACTGATCAGTGAGTCGAGAGGCAATGCACAGTAGCACTTCTTTGCTGCAGGCTTCTCTGCAGAAGTAGGGCTGTTTAATTATTTGTCCCACCTGCATTTAGCAGCTAACCAAATCAGGCATTTCATGTGTCTCTCTCAGTTGTCCACCCCTCAGTATTCTTTGAGTTCTGATAGAGAGTGTTCCTCTCTGTACAGATATAGTAGATATAAATCACTTCATGAACATAGATATTAGTAAAAGAGTGAAAAATAATTAGGAAGTGATAGATTTTGAGTACTTGTTACATTTATTTTTTTATGTTACTTATTTAATTAATTTATTTATTTTTTGAAATGGAGTCTCTCTCTGTTGCTCAGGCTGGAGTGCAGTGGCGCGATGTTGGCTCACTGCAACCTCCGCCTCCCAGGCTCGAGGGATTCTCCTGCCTCAGGCTCCCAAGTAGCTGGCATTACAGGCGTGCCCCACCATGCTCAGGCAATTTTTGTATTTTTAGTAGAGACAGGGTTTCACCATGTTGGGCTAGGCTGGTCTTGAACTTCTGACCTCAGGCAATCAACCCGCATCGGCCTCCCAAAGTGCTGGGATTACAGGCGTGAGCCACCGCGCCTGGCCTATTTATTTATTAGAGATGGAGTTTCAGTCTTGTTGTGCAGGCTAGAGTGCAATGGCTCAGTCTCAGCTCACTGCAACCTCTGCCCCCCGGCCTCAAGTGATTCTCCTGCCTCAGCCTCCCGAATAGCTGAGATTACACCCACTCAGTTAATTTTGTACTTTTAGTAGAGATGGGGTTTCTCCATGTTGGTCGGACTGGTCTCAAACTCCCAACCTCAGGTGATCTGCCCGCCTTGGCCTCCCAAAGTGTTAGGATTAAAGGTGTGAGCTACCACGCCTTGCCTACATTTATTTTTATTAATTATAACTTTCTGTGGTTTAATTTTAAATAATAGCTGTGTTTAACAACTAGCTTGCAAAATCACTGAAAATTTAACAGTCTACTCTCAAGCCAGTATAAGCCCCAGCACTGCACTGGGGATGAGCTATGGTGGATCCACTGGCAACTCGCTGCCCTGTAGCATCTGGCTCATAAATAAGGAAGGAAGACAGCTGGCAGAGACGGGAGGTAAACTGTTAATACAGAAACATTTTTCTGAGAGCTTTTCCTTACCTTCTTTCATGTCCTGCCACATGACACTTAGTGTATCCATACCCATTATTTGGTACAATGACAAGAGAATGAAGTGGCAGCAGTGAGAAGAAAGAAAGCTCAGAGAGGAAGCACAGAAAGTGCTGAAATGACAGAGTGGGTGAAACAGATGATTGTTGCCTTCACACACACTGCATATCATGCTTTTTGATGCTTTTTTTTTTTTTTTTGAGACGGAGTCTCACCCTGTCGCCCAGGCTGGAGTACAGTGACGCGATCTCGGCTCACTGCAAGCTCTGCCTCCCGGGTTCAAGCCATTCTCCTGCCTCAGCCTCCTGAGTAGCTGGGACTACAGGCGCCTGCCACCACGCCCGGCTAATTTTTTTGTATTTTTAGTAGAGACGGGGTTTCACCGTGTTAGCCAGGTTGGTCTCAATCTTCTGACCTCGTGATCCGCCTGCCTCGGCCTCCCAAAGTGCTGGGATTACAGGCATGAGTCACCGCGCCCGGCTGGAAAAACTGTCTTAACCTTTCATTTAGAGAACTAGAACATCTTCTTGCCAGAGATGGTTGTAGATCCTGAAGTGCTTAGTGGTTAGGAGCACTTAATTTTCAGGAAATTATCCCAGGGCTAGCAGTCTCTTATGCCCGTGTTGAGGTCTTAGTCCGCCAGTCTCCTTGCCACTTCACATTTGTCTGCATGTCTATAGTGAGACAGAAGTGAGCCTCAGATGTTGTCTGAAGGAAGGCCTGTGGCACTCTGGGGACTGAAAGCAGAAGACTGAGGGAGGTGGCAAGCTCAGGGATAGAGGATCACAGAGAAGAGGAAGAGAGCCACATGGTGGATGCACTGACACCCTGTGTAGGATTTTCTCCTTATAAAGTATAGTTCGAGGTAGGTCTGGTATTTTTAGGTATCAGACTGTTGATACAGGAAATGTCAATCATCATGAGTACCATTTACCATATTTCAGATTATAAGGCCACAACGAGAAATCATTAGTCTGTCTTTGAAAGTCAGGGGAATGGAGTTTGGTGAATGCCCTTGATCGTGACGACCAACAAAGATGAGTGCAACCAAGACACTCATCTCTTTACTCGACATTGGCTAGAGTTTCTTAGCCCTTGACTCATGTCTTAGCCCATATGAATCCGCATAGACTTAGAATGGATAAACAATTGCCTTTCCCAAATCGGAAATGTTTTCACTTAAGTTGGCTAGATGGAAAAGGACATCTTAAATGAGGCACTATTCTTCATGGATTGGTTCAAATAACATTTAAGGAGCCCATATTTAGTGCCAGGTACTGTTCCAGGGCTGAGGTTATGGCGATTAAAGGTACAGACTCTGCATTTGGGTAAGGAGTGGAGGAGGGACAATCAAGAAACTAGGAATTCTCAACGTGGTGAAACCTCATCTCTACTGAAAATACAAAAAAATTAGCTGAGCGTGGTGGTGCACGCCTCTAGTCCCAGCTACTTGGGAAGCTGAGGCATGAGAAGTACTTGAACCCAGGAGGCAGAGGTTGCAGTGAGCTGAGATTGCACCACTGTACTTCTGCACTCTAGCCTAGGCAACAGAGTGAGACTCTGTCTCAAAAACAAAACAAAACAAAACAAAACAAAAAACAAACAAAAAACAAATTCTAAGCCTAGTATGTTGTGAGCTGTAATGGAGATCTGCACAGAGTGGTCTTGAACCCCAGATGGAGGCACATGAACTCAGGGCTTCCTGCCATGGCATTTAAGTGTGAGTAGAAGTTAATTAGATAATAAAGGAAAGTTAGGATGTTCTGGGAGACGGGGAGTCCCATAGAAAAGTGAAACACAGCATATATAATGAGGACTACCGGAAGTGTGGACTGCCTGGAGCTTAGAATGGAAAGTAAGACTATATACGTCCGTCTCTTCATTTCCAGGGAATCTGGAAGGAAAAGAGGAGTGAGAACAAGATGACCAATGACTTCATATTTTACCTGAAGCTAATTTTCCCATTATTGTCCTCTTTTAGAATTTTGGTGATCTGATTCAAGAGGTGGGGTTTTTCACTTCAAAATTGCAGTGGATGGAGGATGAATAGCCGGATGTGTCGTCGTCATATTTGATCATTGCTTTGTGTTTTGCTACAGCTGCTGCCTATTCACACTCTGAGGCTTGGTGTGGAAGTGGATTCCTTTGATGGGCACCATTATATTTCTTCAATTGTTTCTGGTGGTCCTGTTGACACATTGGGTCTCCTACAGCCAGAAGATGAGCTGCTTGAGGTAAAATTTACGGGGAAAGAAAGACACAGGCAGGAATTTTGAAGTTTTAGAAAAATGTGTTCTCATCACAAATCACCTGAGTTATAGTGTCACCAATGCCAATGTCATAAACATGGGAGGGTAGGGTATTGGAGTCCTGTTTTAAGATGTAGTAAGTTGCTTATTTTTAGAGGTATTCAAGGGAATGGTATTGGGCTTCTTACTGCAGATTAATGCCCTACATTTTGTTAGAATAATTATGCTTTCTTTTTGGTCTTCGTCTTATTGGCTGGCCATGGTCATATATTTGTGGATATCATACATGATAATTTGTAGATTAGAGACTATTGCTGTAGTATGTAGTTATTAGGTGTTGAAAATGAGATACATTTGTTTGGGAGAAGTGGAGGTATGAGTATAAACAATTTAATTCACTTTTTTTTTTTTTTTTTGAGACGGTGTCTTGCTGTGTTGCCCAAGCTGTATGTTGCCCAAGCTGGTCTCGAACCCCTGGACTCTAACAATCCACCCACCTCAGTCTCCTGAAGTGCTAAGATTATGTGTGTGAGCCACTGCACCTGGTCCACTTTTTTTTTTTTGGTGGCAAAATATATGTAACATGAAATTTACCATTTTAACCCTTTTTCTTTTTTTTTTTTAGAGTCAGAGTCTCACTCTGTTGCCCGGGCTGGAGTGCGGTGGTGTGGTCATAGCTTACTTCAGCATCAAACTCCTGGGCTCAAGCAATCTTCCCACCTCAACCTCCCGAGTAGCTAGGACCACAGCTGTGCGCCACCATGCCCAACTAATTTTTTTAGTTATTTTGTAGAAACAGTGTCTGGCTATTCTGCTCATGCTGGTCTTGAACTCCTGGGCTCAAGCAATTCTTCTACCTCAGCCTCCCAAAGTACTGGAATTACAGTCATGAGCCACTACGCCTTGCCTATTTTAACCATTTTTAAGTGTGAAATTTGGTGGTATTAAGTATAAATCACTACTAGTATGTGGTAGGTGCTAAAGAAATGTTGGCTGGATCACAGTAGAGCAAGTATAGGTGATCCCAGCCATCAGCTGGATTCTGTATGCTTTAGCCAAGACTAGGATCCCATGGGCCTACCACCTTGTAGAAGAATGTGCTATAATAAGGTAGTGTGAAGATTTTTTGAGTTCTTAAATATAGATACCTGGTGAAAGAGCTTGAGATAAGGAAAGAAGCACAGATTTGGAGTCAGAAAAGCTACTTTCTGTCTGAGTTGCCACAGGTTAGCATGTGTCCCTTGGCATGTCACTTGACTATGTTGAGGATCAGTTCCTTCATCAATAAATGCCCACTTCACTATGAGCTTATAAGGATCTAATGAAATACCATCCATGTAAATTATAAAGCATTATCTAATTGCAGGGTATTGGCAATATCATCACTGTGAAAAAGGCATATTAACAAGCTTTATGGGCTGGGATGATGGTTGGATGTGGTAAAATAGTGGGGCTGCCCTTGTGCAATGTTCTGTACTCTGAAAGTGTGTATGTGTGTGTGCATTTTCCAGTCAAAAACTTGGGATAATCGAGATTTGATAGCACCTAGGAGGCTCTCAAGTTGCTGGACCTTGAGAAATACTGTGAATTCTAAAATAAAAATTAGCTTCTTCTGAATAACCAAAAATACAAAATTTAAAAATCTCAGTATAGTTAGCCAAATAAACTCCTGAACTCAAAGTGTGGAGTGTGTGTGTGTATGTGTGTGTGTGTGTGTGTGTGTGTGTGTGTGTGTTTAATGTACTCCTTAGAACTTAAAACCAGAAACACAAATATGCTTTGGGGTTAGAACACTGTGCCAAGTTTCATCCCAGAACAGCTATTTACAGCAGCTATAAATCCCCTTAGATAGGAGTTGGTAATGGGAAATGTGACCAATCCCTTTAGCAACAGAGCAGTGAGGAGGACTACCAGGCACTGGTATAATAATTGGAGACAATTCAAATGAATAAGTAATGAGATAAATAAATATTTAAAGGTACTCCAAGATAAAAACCTGAAAAGTGACTTTCTAATTTGTTGAAGTGAAACACAAACTCATACTCATGTATGGATAGAATTCCTGATCTGATTCTATCTCCTTGCATTTTTTTTAGTGTAAGTTACTACTCACTTAGTTGATTTTAGAACTTTGTGCACTTGTGACACCCGTTGAAATCATGGATATGGTGTGACCAGTGATGGGTACCTCCCTGCCTCTTCTTGTGTAAAGGTTGACTTGCAGTTATTCCAAGGAAAAACCTTTCATCAGCTGCTGAGCTTTCTGTCCCCTTATACTTCTTCGTTTGTCCTGAAGACTTTCCAGTAGAGCTAGCTTCCTAAAGTGCACGTGGGTCTCTTTACCATGTGGTGGTTTCTTTGTAAATAATTAAGAGGCAGGGAGATATGTCTGACTTGATGGCTAAGTGCTTGATATGTTACAGGCTTGAGAGTGGTTCCCAGGGATGGTTGACCTGAGACTCAGCCCGCTGCTGAAGATTTCCAGCAACCCAGTGTCCGCTTCCTCTCTGGTGCAGTGAAAGACTTGTAGAAGGGCTTCTCCCAGTAAAGTCAGGCTGGCCAGTTATCTGAACATTAGCACGGCACTTATTAGAAATTAATGCCAGACTAGAAATATCTTTAAAGCAAATAATGCTTCTCAACCCTCCCAGGAGGGTAGGAGTCAGATGCGAAAAGATTATTTGTTGTCTGGATTCTGTTCATGCCTCAGCTTTTTGGGAGTAGCAGACAAATCAGCTTTTAGAGACCTGTAGTTAGAACTGACAGGACCCTTTGAGCTCAAGTCATATATATGAAAAATTAGAATTATGTAGCCAAATCATCTTTGGTGCCAAGTATTATTATTATGTGCCAAAAGTAATATGAAATTTAGGTAATTTTTTGGTGACAAGGATTAATCATTAATAAAGAATACCTTTTTCTTTTAAACAATATGAGACACTTGAATAAAATTATTTTAAAAATTATTTTAGTATTTTCTATGCATATTTGATTGCTGTATAGCAGAGCATATAAGAATGTAACTGATGCAAAGTTATGTATATTTCTTTTCAATAGAAGTTATTTTTCTAGGATGGTATTAAGAGTGTATGAGATGTGAAAGAATATTGTGGACTGATGTTAAATTTTGACAGTCAAGTATTCTAGACTTATTAGCTATACTTTAAGTAGTAAATAAAATAGTTTTTTTAAACATCCTTAAATTTCTGTAATGGTATTCTTATAAAATGAAAATGCAAAGGTAAACAGTCTTAAATGTCTGTAAATGATACTTAGTGTGTTTAAGGAGAGCTGAGTAGAGGTAGGTGAGAGAATACTACATTGGAGTATTGAAAGGAGAAACCACAGTGTTGCAAAAAATTAGGTAGATCCTTACCCAGTACGGGCATACTCTGCATGCATTTTATATTTTATCCATCAAGACATGCAAAGATTTAGCCTTAGATTTTAAAAATTTTAAGGATTTCTAACATTTTTATTTGCATATTATTTTATCATAATATGAGTAAAGTGAGTCCCCTTGTTTACAGGGAAAATAAAATGGTGTCCTATTTTCATTTGGTAGATTGGTATAAATAAGAAATTTTTGTTTTTTCATTTGGGGCTACCTCAGTTCTGACTTATCCCCTTGTCTTCCTAGGTCAATGGCACGCAGCTCTATGGAAAATCTCGCCGAGAAGCAGTCTCCTTTCTTAAAGAAGTGCCACCCCCTTTTACTTTGGTTTGCTGTCGGAGGTTGTTTGATGATGAGGCTTCTGTAGATGAACCAAGGCACACTGAAACCTCTCTTCCTGAGATGGAGGTACTAAATGAATATAGTGCGATTCCCATAGGCATACCCATTCATCAAAGATGCCCCGAACACTGTACTGCAATATGAAGAGAGGGGAAACCATACTCTGCTCTTTTTTTACTTGACTAAGGCAGCAATGCACAGCTTTTCAAATTGTTACTCTTCATTTAACATCAAAAAATTCTTTCCTTCCCTTTCCTTGACATGTTGGCAACATTGATGTACATGCATTTTGATTTTAGAGAATCTTTTTTTTAGTAATTGCCTGGATTCATTACTTTTGGCTTCCAGTTCAACTCAGTTTGTCTTATATAAGGTTAAGGTGTTTGTGAGTGTTGCATATCTAATGTACTTCCCTTTTTCAGAGCCTTAAAAATATGAAACTCAGCCAGGCATGGTGGCTCACACCTGTAATCCCAGCACTTTGGGAGGCCGAGGCAGGCGGATCACCTGAGGTTGGGAGTTGGAGACCAGCCTGACCAGCAATATGGAAAAACCTCGTCTCTACTAAAAGTACAAAAAATTAGCTGGGCATGGTGGCGCATACCTGTAATCTCAGCTACTTGAGAGGCTGAGGCAGGAGAATCACTTGAACCCGGGAGGAAGAGATTGCAGTGAGCCGAGATCTCACCATTGCACTCCAGTCCGGGAAACAAGAGCGAAACTCCATCTCAAAAAAAAAAAAAGACACTGTATGATACATTTCAAAGTGAGTCTGGAAATTGCTATAAAACCCTTCAGAAGACCAGAGAGTAGAATAACACTTTATATGCTCTTGGCATTCTTTTTTTTTTTTAAAAAAAGAGCATTATGATTATGAAAGGAGTTTTTTTTTTTTTTTTTTTAAAAACAGGATCTCCTCAGGCTGGAGCGTAGTGTTTTGAACATGGCTTACTATAGCCTTGACCTTCTGGGCTCAAGCAGTCCTCCTGCCTCAGCCTCCCAAGTAGCTGGGACCACAGGCACATGCCAGCACACCCAGCTAACTAAAAAATTTTTTTCCTACAGTCAGGGTCTTGCCATATTTCCCAGGGTGGTCTCAAACTCCTGGACTCAAGCAATCCTCCCACCTCAACCTCACGAAGTGCTGAAATTACAGGTGTGAGCCACTGTACCCAGCGGAAGAGTTTTGAGTACATGCTTTGCCATCTTATGCTATTTGTAACCTCGTCTTTTATGCTGCTTTCCCCCCTTTTCAATCTCTTTTAGATTGTAATTCCACTAAACACCAGTTTACATTCATGGGGCCTTTTACTTAAGTTCTGGATTTCAGTACATGTGAAACTAATCCTGCCCCTACTACCTAATAATTGTGAATCTTTGGACAAATGACTTTCTGTTCATATTTTTCCTTTGAAAAATGGTGATACTTATCATACTTACCCATCTCATGAGTTTGTGCAAGAAGGAAATGTGGTCATGTGAGCAAGTTCTTAACATAATACCTTGCACGTGGGAAGTGCTCAGTAACAGTCGGCTATGGTTGTTTGAGTCTTTGCTGGTCCATCCGTTTTTGTTTTCTTATGTCCTGAAGTACATAAGAATCTAGCACTGTCTTATAGATACTTTAGTATGTGTTAATCTTGTTTATCCAAGAAGACTGTCAGCTCACAGTGGGCAAAGGCCATAACTTAAAATTATTTTCCATTCATAGTGTTTTTAGTCTATATTAGGCATATAAGAGGGGCTTGGTAAATTTTTGATTATTGGTTGACTCTTTTTTAAAAAAATGTTTAACTTTTGTAAAAACTGTTTCAAGGAGGGTACTCAAATGCCACACTTTTGTGACTTGCTATCCTTACCAAAATGAAATGTGGGTGGTGGGTTCCCTCTGAAGGCTGATAACAATGCCTTTAATCTAATCTTGCAAGGTGTGTAAATCACAAACCCCACTTGCTGACTCTCTGCCCCTGTCTGTCATGCTTTACCACAATGGTGAACAACAGCTTTGAATTATGCTAAATGTCAACCTTGCTGCCCATTAGTTGATTGCTTTCCATTCTGTAAATACAGGAGTTATGCAGAATTGATTGTATCAAAGTGATATATTTCAGGTTGCAGTATAATATCTTATGTACCTCGAATGCCTTGAAATTTCTATAAACACAGGTTTTGTAATTGTATGTGGTTTCTTAAAATCTTGGCTCTTTTTCCATCTGTCTCTTTTTTCATTTCTCCTAATACCATCGTATATTCTTAAACCCTATCTGGTTAGGCAGCTCAGCCAAAATTCTAATACTCATTAATCAGTGAGGGTATTAAATACCCTAGTAAAACATCAATCATGTTGTATTAGCCAATGGAACTTTACTTTTTGTTGCAAGATATAAGTGTTTCCTTTTTAAGTGTATCACTTCCACACATCAGACTGAAATATGCAGAGGTTATTGATCCATAAAGTTTCCACTCATTTCAAGTTTTCAGCTTCATGTTGTTCCCATGTTTAGGTTCAGTCCACTGTGGATCACTAATTGACCACCTGTGTCCTGCAGTGACAGTTTAAGATCTGGACCAATCCTAATTTAAAAAATGTTTTTCTACCCCATAGTCTCTTGCCCAAAGCCTCCTAAATCTGATAAACAACTTCAGCAAAGTTTCAGGATACAATATCACTGTACAGAAATCAGTAACATTTCTTTACGCCAGTAACATCCAAGCTGAGAACCAAATTAGGAACTCAGTCTCATTCACAATAACCACAAAAAGAACAAGATAACAGGAATACAGCTAACCAGGGAAGTGAAAGATATCTACAATGAGAATTATAAAACACTGCTGATAGAAATCAGAGATGATGCAAATAGAAAAACATACCATCCTCATGGATAGGAAGAATCAATAGTGTTAAAATGGCCATACTGCCCAAAGCAATTTGTAGATTCAATGCTATTTCTGTGACTTTTTTCACAGAATTAGAAAACAACTATTCTAAAATTTTTCTAAATTTTAAGGAAATTTTTAGAAAATTTTTTTGGAACCAAAAAAGAACCCAAATAGCCAAAGCAGTCCTAAGCAAAAAGAACAAAGCCAGAGTATCACACTACCCAACTTCAAACTATACTACAAGCCTATAGTAACCAAAACAGCATGGTACTGGTACAAAAATAGACACATAGATCAATGGAACAGGTTAGAGAACCTAGAAATAAAGGTGCACATCTACAATCATCTGCTGTTTAACAAAGCTGACAATAACAAGCAATGGGGAATGGAATTCCTATTTGGAAAATGTTGCTGGGAAAACTGGTTACCCATATGCAGAAGACTGAAACTGGACCCCTTCCTTTCACCATATACAAAAATCAACTCAACATGGATTAAAGACTTAAATGTAAAACCTAAAACTATAAAAACCCTAGAAGAAAACCTAGGAACTACCATTGTGGATATTGGCCTTGGCAAAGATTTCATGATGAAGATTCCAAAAGCAATTGCAACAAAAACAAAAATTGACAAGTGGCACTTAATTAAACTAGAGCTTTTGCACAGCAAAAGAAACTATCAACAGAGTAAACGGGCAACCTACAGACTGAAAGAAAATATTTGTAAACTATGCATCTGACAAAGATCTAATATCCAGAATCTAGAAATAACTTAAAACAGCAAGAAAAAACAGACAGCCCCTTTAAAAAATGGGCAACGGACATGCACAGACACTTCTCAAAAGAAGACATATATGCGGCCAACCACTATATGAAAAAATGCTTAATATCACTGATCGTTAGAGAAATGCAAATCAAAACTACAGTGGGATACTATCTCATACCAGTCACAATGACCATTATTAAAAAGTTAAAAAATAACAGATGCTGGGGAGGTTGTGGAGAAAAGGAAATACTTAGCACTGCTGGTGGGAATGTAAATTAGTTCAGTCACTGTGGAAAGCATTTTGGAGATTTCTCAAAGAACTTAAAACAGAACTACCATTCAACCCAGCAGTCCCATTACTTTGTGTATGCCCAGAGGAATATAAGTTGTTTTACCATAAAGATGCATGTGTATGTTCATCACAGTACTTTTTCCAATAGCAAAGACATGGAACCAACCTCATGCCCATCAACAGTGGATTAGATGAAGAAAATGTGGTACATAGACACCACGGAATACTATCCAGTCAGAAAAAAGAATGAAATCACATTCTTTGCAGCAACCTGAATGGAGCCAGAGGCCATTATCCTAAGCAAATTAAAGCAGAAACAGAAAACCAAATACCACATGTTCTCACTAATAAGTGGGAGCTAAACATTGAGTACACATGGACACAAAGAAGAGAAGAATATACGCTGAGACCTACTTGAGGGTAGAGAGTAGGAGGGTGGGGATGAGAAAACTACCTGTCAGGCACTATGCTTATTATGTGGGTGACAAAATAATCTGTACATTAGACTCCTGTGACACACAATTTACCCATGTAACAAACCTGCATACATACCCCCTGAACCCAAAATGTTGGAAAGAATAAATACATACATAAATACATAAATAAAATAAAATTTTTAAACTAGCTATTTTCCTAATTATATAGGGTTTTTCCCTTCGCTTTTTTGATCACATTAAATTGATGCTCTTAAACTGGTGTTTCAAAATTATGTTTGTAGAGATGATGCATTTTTATTTACTGAGGTTACCTAAAGTTTTAGGAAGTCTACTTTAAAAAAGTATTTACTTGGTACCTTTATTGAGAAGGAGTTTCAAGAGAAACACACTGAAAGATAGGTAATTTTTAATGTATTGAACAAATATTTATTTTATACCTACTATGAGCCAGGCATTTTACGGTTGAGCTGATAACCATGGTAAACTCTGTGGTAGGCCTCGTAGAGTTTCCATTCTAACTTAGGAGCCAGGTGTTTTGTTCATTGCTTGGGCTATAAAAGATAAGTTTTGAGCTTCAGATAGAAGTTTAGAGTATTTTGGGGAATGTCAATCAGATGAAAACAACAGTACAATGCTATAATTAGTATAAAAACAGAAGGTTTTTTGAAGCAGCCTTTCTTCTGCGTAGTAGATTCATTGACCCTCTCATTTAACTTCCTGGAATTCCACATAGCAATGACTCTTCTTCCTAAAAAGACAGGGTGTCTAGAATAGAGGGACTTTCAGGAGGAAAATCAAGAAAAGTAACAAAGGAACTGTATGCTGGGCAGTTGTGCTGACCTATTTCTTCTAAGATTAGGTTTTCATTATTTCAACTCAGTGATTTTTCTTCATTTTAGACTTATGTGATGACCAAAGACTTGGATTTTTTTTTTTCTCACCTTATTTTCTAGTAAAGTTTTTCTTGAAAACTTCCAGGAGCCAGCAGAAGTGGTTTCCCTGTCCTGCTCCAACCTATCTCTGTGTTGACATCTCTTTCTTTGTCTCTGTCTGTAATTATGAATCCAGGTATCACTACTTACATATCTTATAAGCTTCTACTATGTATGATGTTTTCATTTACTTAAATTGCATATTTTTCCTTTTATGCTTCTAATGGGATGACAGAACTCATTGAAGTATAAGAGGTCAGTGTTAATACTTTGAATGAAATAAATTCTTTACATTAATAAAAAAACTGTATGAACAGTCTGAATTTTTAAGCGCTTGAATTTTTATGAAGATCTTATCCTGGAGTGTGTGTGCCCCAGAGCATGGCCCTTTTGCAAAGATTAGAAAGAAAAACTACGCATGCCAAAGAGAATTCCCAGTTTGAGAAGAAGCTGTGAGATTCTTGATATGTGCATTCTTTTCAGAATTGAAAGCATGGTGTTTTGAAGCATTTATCTTCTTTGGTATTTCAGATTGACCGCGATATGGATGTCAATGCTGAAGAAGATGATGATGGGGAATTAGCACTGTGGTCCCCTGAAGTCAAGATTGTTGAACTAGTAAAAGATTGTAAAGGTTTGGGATTCAGCATTTTGGATTACCAGGTATAAGAACCTATGTAGAGGTGTTTTCTTTGGAGTGATTGGTTTGTATTAAAGTTATGTGAAGTAGTAATTGTTTAAGACCCCTATTGACTTAAGCAAAACTGAATCCCAAAGATGGGATATTATACTACTTTCAATTGTTATCTTTAAAATTAGTAGCTCCCTTAGTGAATAAAATGATGGATTAATTATATAGGAACTGGACAATAAGGGAAGCAATAGTTATATATCTGTGGGTGCTTTTAGAGACAGGATCTTGATGAACTTGTTTATATGGAGGACTTTTGTTCCTCAGCTTTATTCAGATATCTTTCACATACCATAAAATTCACCCATTTTAAGCATACAGTTCAGTCGTTTTTAGTATATTCTCAGAGTTGTGCAACCATCACCACACTCTAATTTTAGAACATCTTCAACACCCAAAAAAGGAATCCCATACACATTAGCATTTGTTCCCAATTCGTACTCTCCTCTCCCTCCCCTTCACACGAAGGTTTATAGTTTAGCTTACCTATTAATTTCAATGTGCTTAAATAAATAGAAATGTTCTTGGTCAAGTTATATATTGCGTTTATATTAATATATAATATCTATGTATTTATATATTTATAGCTACTCCAGTTATAACTAGGGTAAAGTTACTGATACATTTGGGGGAGGGAGATGTAAAAGGTCACAACAAGACATCTATATGTTATACAATTCTACCAGTTACTGTCGTATATTCAGAATGCTGATTATTTGGGGGAATTAAAATTGTTGCCAAGAAATCTCTTAACTTTTAAGATGCATATTTTACTGCTTTGGTGCTGCCTAAACACATTGTGGTTTAGTAAAGCAAAATGTGCACTATTAAAGCACATAAAATGCCAAGTGATATTAAAAAATCAATTATTTAATATAATAAGGCAATCAGGAATAGATTAAAAGAAAAATAGTTTGAGCATTATATGAGAAATATTAAATTCTTTTTTTTTTTTTTTTTTGAGACAGAGTCTCACTCTGTCGCCCAGGCTGGAGTGCAGTAGCACGATCTCGGCTCCCTGTAACCTCCATCTCCCTGGTTCAAGTGATTCTCCTGCCTTAGTCTCTTGAATAGCTGGGACTGCAGGCATCCACCACTACACCCGGCTAATTTTTGTATTTTTAGTAGAGATGGGATTTCACCATGTTGGCCAAGACTGGTCTTGCACTCCTGACCTCAAGTGATCAGCCTTCCTCGGCCTCCCAAAGCGCTGAGATTACAGGCATGAGCCACTGTGCCCGGTCTAGATTCTATATTTTGGCAGTGTGATTTAAATTTACTGAAAAAGAAATCTATTTCATTTTTGCTGGCATAGTTCTGTGCCAGATAACCCTCTTCCTTTTTAGAATTTCTCTTTGGAATACTACTGAATGATAAGTTGTTGATTCCAAATATTTTGAGAAATATATTTATCAAGAGATCTGAACACAGTTAAGCGTTTGAAAGTCTATTAATATTATAGACTTTAATATTAGGGTATGTAAAACAAGTGGCGGGGACTCTTTTTTTTCCTCCCCATTGTAACTAAGTTACCTAGAACTACTAGGTGGTTAATAAATATTTGCAGAATGATTTAATAAAGTTTAGGTGAGCCAAAATTAGGCCTGACCTTTTTTTTTTCTTTTTTTTTTCTGTTTTGAGACAGAGTCTGACTCTGTCGCCAGACTGGAGTGCAGTGGCATGATCTCGGCTCACTGCAACCTGTGCCTCCCAGGTTCAAGAGATTCTCCTGTCTCAGCCTCCTGAGTAGCTGGGACTACAGGCACGTACCACCATGTCCTCCTAACTTTTCTATTTTTCTTAGAGATGGGGTTTCACCATTTTGGCCAGGCTAGTCTTGAATTCCTGACCTCAAGTGATTCCTCTGCCTCAGCCTCCTAACGTGCTGGGATTACAGGCGTGAGCTACCGTGCCCAACCTAGGTTAGCCAAAATTAACTGGAATTGAATGAACAAATTTAATGGGAATTAGAGGCATGAGCCACCGTGCCCAGCCTAGGTTAGCCAAAATTAACTGGAATTGAATGAACACATTTAATGGGAATTTGTTAATAATTAATTTTGATAATTGGGATTTAATTTAGAAGACACCTTTCAGATGTGGTCTTAGATATTCAGGTATATTTCCATTTCTATTATTGTAGGAATCTCTATATGTTTGCATTCTTATATAATAAATATTTATATCATAATGGTTGCTCTGATGCTCTTAAATGACATTATATGTAGGTTTTATATTTTGAATATTGCACATATTAAGGCAGAGAAATGTTTCAGAGCTCAAAAACAATTCAGTAAAGGATGAAAATAAAAACTAGATGGTCCTTAAGAATTTAATCCCTAGTTAACAGGAAAACCCCCTTCTGAGCTTTACACTTAAAAACATATATAGTTAGTTCTAAATGCAGAATTTTTTGTTCTTCATTGTGTTCCTACAGGTATGTTTAGTAACTTCTATTGCATTTTGAAATTTTATTTTTAATTTATAAAATTCTAGGATTTTCCTTTTCCTCTCATTTATCTCACAATCAGCAGCACAAATACTGACATTTGCTTTTGTACAAATTATATAAAGTAATTTTCTGCCAACAAAGGATTAGATATTCTTTTTGTCTTTGTGCTACTTGTAGAATATAACTACTTAATTTCCTAAATGCCACTTTGATTCAAATTAAAGGGCTCATCTTATTTATTTCTACAGCTAAACCTTGGGGCAGGGGGAGGGGAACACTTTCAATCCTAACTTGGATGCTTTTCTTAAGTCAGTCTTAAGTTTACTTACAGATGTGTACAGCACATTTTTCACCATTTGTCAGTGGTACCTAGAACTGTTATCTACTATGACATTTAGATGACAGGTAAACACAATTCAAATTTGGTTTTGAGCAACTTAATTAATCAGTTATACCGTCCCTTGTTGTAATTAGGTAATAAATTCTAAAGTTCAAAAATATTTTTTGCAAGGCCAGTCAAAGGTTTAGCAAAAGCCATGAAAGGCCACATCCCTGGCTATTATTGCATTCGGCGTGTCCTGTATGAATTTATTAGGTAGCTGAGGAGGGCCAAGACAAATTCTTGTCCCGCCAGGCCTAGCATGTTCAGAACAAGAAGTACTGCAGAAACATTTAACTACAGGGAGAAAGTATTGGTAGAGGGAGAGAACTTTTAGGTTGTAAAGGGCTTGCTTAGCATTATTGAAGAGATTGAAAATTTACTTTGGAATATTTCATTTCAGTTAACCACTTTTCTCATGAACAGCCTTTTCTCTAGAATAAGAACTTTTTGAAGAGCCTAACAAAATAACATGCATCTATTTCATTGGTGTTTATGTACCTCCTCGTTTATAAAATGGAGATAGTAATGTCTAGCACAAAGGATTGTGTGGATTAAGTGAATTAGTGTGTAAGGAAATAGGAAATGTTATGTTATTATGGAAATGTATTAACAATTATTCAGTTTAGAAAATAAACACAAAAGTTTTTGATACTGTCCTCAAAGATGGCACCATACTATGTTTGTAGTCTATCAATTCTTTAACTCTCTAGTTAGATTAGAAAAATTAATAAGTAGATATCTTTGTTTAGTGAAGTCTAAATTTAATTTTAAAATTGCATTCTAAAATGCAGCCAATTCTTGATGAGCCATATGTGAATTACCCAATTGTGAATTATTGGCCAGAAGTTTGCTTTTTATATAAATTGAACTGAACTTTAGGAAAAGAGACCAGGTGCAGTGGCTGACACCTGTAATCCCAGCACTTTGGGAGGCCAAAGTGGGCAGATTGCTTGAGGTCAGGAGTTTGAGACCAGCCTGGCCAACATGGTGACACCCTGTCTGTACTAAAAAATATAAAAATTAGCCAGGCATGGTGGTGCACGCCTGTAATCCTAGCTACTCAGGAGGCTGAGGCAGTAGAATCCCTTGAGCCTGGAAGGCAGAGGTTATGGTGAGCTGAGATTGCACCTCTGCACTCCAGCCTGGGAGACAGCAAGACTGTCTTAAAAAAAAAAAAAAAAAAAAGGGAAAGATGAGTGAGCAGATAACGGAGCTTGAGTTAGTCTATAGAACAATAGGGTAGCTCTCCGGACAGGTCAGTGACTCAGAATATTGATGGAAGGTGTGTAACTGAGCAGGGAAAAGAGGTATGCCTTTATACCTGAAATGATCAGCTGAGTCTGATACACAGTTCTACAACTCAATCATATGGCCAAAGTACAAAGTGCAAACATTCATTTCATGAAAGGCATTTTGAATTAGATTGGGTCAAAGGCAAAAGAGAAAGCAACAAGGAAGACAATAAATATGATTAGGTTGTAAGTCTTTTTCTTAGCTCTTAGGGTACTGTGGCAGTAACTTTGTTGGCTATTATTTGAACAGGGGTAGAACATCTGTTAGTCTCAAGTATACCTAGCCACTTCATATGGTGGCTAGTTAAAATCCCACTCTACGTGTGCCATATTAGAAGATTCACTGATCTCCATTGTCATGCCTTAGAGGATTGTGTCATGGCAAACAATGGTATGTAATTTGTCAAGAGCATGAGTATTATGGCTTGACTGAGTACTCTGTTTCTAAACAACAAAACTTCAGAAATTAGGTTATAAGTTTTTATACTGTAATTTCTTGCCAGTTTGTAGGTGAGGTTTTTATATTATACTTTAGTTATCTCTGTCTTGTTTCCCTAGTATTTAAGTGTAATGTCTTTATTCCTTAGACTATTGTCTCTGTGGAAGATTACTGATACTCACACTGGTTTTAATACCAATGTTAGGTAGCATTTATTGAGTGTTTACTGAGTGCCAGGTGATGTTCTAATTGCTTTACATATATTAGGCTATGTATTCCTTACATGAACCATATGAAAGAGATACTCTTATTGTTGTCATTTGAGAAGTGAAGAAATGGAGGCACAGAAAACTTAAGTGATTAGTCCAGTTCATACAGTATATGGTAGAACTGAAGCAGTTGGGCCC